CAGGGAGGGAGCAGGGGGCTGGGGAAGCACAAGGCAGTTCTCCCACCCCAGGGGGTTAGGCGCTGCCCTGCCCCGCCACCTGCGGGTATTTGTTCCCCTAGCGATGGTCCCAGCACAGGGAGGGAGCAGGGGGCTGGGGAAGCACAAGGCAGTTCTCCCACCCCAGGGGGTTAGGCGCTGCCCTGCCCCGCCACCTGCGGGTATTTGTTCCCCTAGCGATGGTCCCAGCAGCAGTGGGGGATGGGCGGATCCCTCCTGACCATCCTGAAATGCAGAGTCCATGTCCCGGGCCCGGTGACGCCAGGACAGCGCTTGTCCCCGGCTCCCTGTGGCTGGGGCCCGCGGGCCTGCGCCAGCCTGTCCCGGTGGGCAGGGCTGAGGAGGCCTTAGCCCTTTTTGCACGGTGCTCTCACCACCAGGCCAGGAGCGCGATCTGGGCCGTAGTAAGAGCAGGATGAGAACACCGCGCACGCAGGGGCCTGTGGCTCCTCTCCAGCCCGCTTCCTAGGGCAGGTGCAGGGTCTGGGACCCCCTGCAGTGACCAGGCTTCCTTGGGCAGCTCTTACTGCAGCCTGGGCAGGGCTTCAGAGAGAGAGGAGGAGCAGGGGGCAGGTCAGCGGGTGAAGGTGGTCACCCCAGGGGGTAAGGCACCAGCCAGGAGACTTTCCCCAAAGCGCTGCAAGTGTCCTCTCAGAGCCCCACTGCCCCCGCTCCTTGCTCCCCATTTCCCACTGGTGCTGAATGCATCTCAGAGTTTGGGGCCTGGCTCCTGGGCTGCCAGGCGGGACCAGGGGCTGCTCTGATGTCTGCGCAGGAGTCACCGCCCGGCCGCGAGGGGCGGCGCCGAGGCTGGATTCCGTCCAGTGGCCATCACTGTCTTCGGCTCTGCTCGGAGATGCCTCACAATGAGCCGGTCACCAGGCCCGGCCAAAAAGGGCCGGGGGTTGGGAGCGAGCCGGGAGACTGGCTTCGGTGCAGAACTGAATGTGGGGGCGTGGGCTGATGTCTGCGCAGGAGTCACCGCCCGGCCGCGAGGGGCGGCGCCGAGGCTGGATTCCGTCCAGTGGCCATCACTGTCTTCGGCTCTGCTCGGAGATGCCTCACAATGAGCCGGTCACCAGGCCCGGCCAAAAAGGGCCGGGGGTTGGGAGCGAGCCGGGAGACTGGCTTCGGTGCAGAACTGAATGTGGGGGCGTGGGGCAGGAGCTGCCCCTGCGGGGTGGGGATGGATAGGAAGGGGCCTCTCTCATGCAGACGATTGACCGGGGAGACCCCCACTTCTGTTCCCCCTCCCTGACAGGCTGAGAAATCACCTCCATGAGTCGCTCCAGACTGGCCCTGCTTCTAGGAGACCAGGCAGAGAAACGGCTGTGATGGAGCCCGCTCAGGTAGGGGATTTCCAGGGAGCTGCTGAGGGGATTGGCTATGGAGGGGGCAGAGCCGGAAACACACAAGAGGAGGCAGGGAGGGGACAGGGTGGGACAACCCAGTTGGGACAGGCCCATCGGCAGAGGTGGGGACATTCTCCTATTTCTGAACCAGGAACAACCCCCGCTCCCACCCCTCAGGCAGGGTGGGAAAACTTCCCGGACTCCCAGGCCCAGATCCTGACCCCACGGGGCAGAGGCTGCTGTGAAATACGAAGGGAGGCCGTCTGGATCATAGAAGAGACCTCAGGAGTCATCGAGTCCAGCCCCCTGCCCAAAGCAGGACCAACCCCCACTCAATCATCCCAGCCAGGGCTTTGTCAAGCAAGAACTTAAAAACTTCTATTCTGTGTCTAGACTGGCCAACTTTTTCCGGAAAACAAACGCGCCAGCTGTCATGTAAGATCGTCAGTGCTTTTGCGGAAATATTATGCTGCTCCCGTTCGGGCAAAAGTCTTTTTCCGAAAGACTTTTGCACGAAAGGGCCAGTGTAGACAGCACAGTAGTGTTTTCCACAAAAAAATCCTCGATTGTGAAAATGGCCATCGGGGCTTTTTTGTGGAAAAGCATCCTGCCAATCTAGTGCTTTTGCGGAAAAGCATCCTGCCAATCTAGACACGCTTTTCCGAAAATGCTTTTAATGGAAAAGTTTTCTGTTAAAAGCATTTTCGGAAAATCATGCCAGTGTAGATGTAGCCCTAGGGATGGACGTAGCCCTAGGGATCCCAGTGCTTCACCACCCTCCTAGGGAAATAGTTTTTCCTAATATACAACCTAGACCTCCCCCACGGAAACTTGAGACCATTGCTCCTTGTTCTGCCATCTGTCCCCACTGAGAACAGCCTCTCTCCATCCTCTTTGAAACCTCCCATCAGGAACTTGAGGGCTGCTATCAAATACCCCCTCACTCTTCTCTTCTGCAGACTAAATAAGCCCAAATCCCTCAGCCTCTCCTCGTAGGCCATGTGCTCCAGCCCCCTCATCATTTCCCCATCCTTTCTGTCGTGGGGGGCCCAGAACTGGACGCAACACTCCAGATGTGGCCTCACCAGTGCTGACTAAAGGGGAATAATCTTTCTCTAGATCTGCTGGCAATGCTCCTCCTAATGCACCCTAATATGCCATTACAAAAGACAGGACTATGCAGCACTTTAAAGACTAACAAGATGGTTTATTAGGTGATGAGCTTTCGTGGGCCAGACCCCACTCATCACCTAATAAACCATCTTGTTAGTCTTTAAAGCGCTGCATAGTCCTGTCTTTTGTTTCAGCAAGACCAGACTAACACGGCTACATCTCTATTACTATTTAATATGCCATTAGCCTGCTTGGCCACAAGGGTGCCCTGTTGACTCATATCCAGCTTCTCATCCCGTTATCCCCAGGTCCTTTTCTGCTGAACTGCTACCCAGCCAGTCAGTCCCCAGCCTGTAACAATGTTTGGGATTCTTCAGTCCCAAGTGTAGACTCTGTACAGGTCCTTGTTGAACCTCATGAGATTTCTTTTGGCCCAATCCTCTAGTCTGTCTAGGTCACTCTGGACCCTATCCCTGCCTTCCAGCATAGCTACCTCTCCCCTCTGTCCCTGGCCCAGAGCTGTGCTTCCCACGTCAGCCTGTGGCAGGCAGGCGTGTGGGGAATGAGGAGACCTTGCCCTGCTCTTGTCTGTTGTGGGACATCACTCTCTCCCCTTTTCCCTCCCCCTACAGCCTTCTGGCTTCTTTGGGCAGGGCGGGGTGGGATTCTGCTCCTGAAACCTCCTCCGTTGTGACTAGTGGGGTTGTGGCTGAGGTGGCAGGCGCTGAGTGTGGGGGGGCCCTGTTGTTTCAGATGCCGGTGACCTTCGAGGAGGTGGCTGTGTATTTCACTGCGGGGCAGGGGGTGCTGCTGGACCCCGCTCAGAGAGCCCTCTACAGGGACGTCATGCAGGAGAACTACGAGACTGTGGCCTCGCTAGGTAAGGGAGTCCTGCATCTTCAGCTATTAGGAGTTGTGGGGTCTGTGAGTCCCAGTCAGGTTCTTCCCTGCTCAGGTGGATTAGCAGGGCTGGGATACCTAGCCGACAGCTCCTGTGTGAGACAGACTTTAATCTCCAGGGGAGTCAGAAACCTCAGGGACATGCTAATTCATCCCCGTTCTCTCCTGCCCTCGGGGCCACAGGCAGGGTACGGCCCTGCCTGTATAATTTCTCCTTCACACTGTTCACCTTCCTTCCGGGAACAGCTTCATCCCTGGGTTCTGGGTTCTACAGCCTGGAAAATAAGCAGGAGTTTAATACTTGGGCTACGTCTACACTGCAGGCTTCTTATGCAAGAACTGTTTTGCACAAGAGTTCTTGTGCAAAAGGTCTTGCACAAGAGTGCGTCCACACTGCCATGTGCTTTTGCACCAGGGCATCCATGGTGGTGTGAACACTCTATTGTGCAAGAAAGCTCTGATGGCCATTTTAGCCATAGGGGTTTCGTGCACAAGAAACCCTGGTTGCCTGTCCACACTGCCATCTTGCGCAAGAGCTCTTGCACAGGAGGGCTTATTCCTTGTGGGGAGAGGAATAACTCTTGTGCAAGAAACCTTCTGTTCTGATGCTTTACTGTAAAATTACTTCCGCAAGAACGTGTGTGCAGTGTAGATGCTCGGCTAGTTTTTGTGCAAGAACAGGTGTTCTTGTGCAAGAAGACTGCAGTGTAGCCATAGCCTGGCTGTGTGTGTGTGTCAGTAAGTCTCCAGAGCCATCTACCCTGAGCCTTCCTAGTGAGGTTGGAGAACAACTACTCCCCCGTCTGCTGCTTCCCAGGCTCAGGCTAAACTCAGGAAATGTTCCTTGTGACACATACTCTGCCCAGACTCCGTGTACCTTCACTTTGCCTGATTTCACCCTCTTCACAGGATTCCCCGTTCCCAAACCTGAGTTGATCACCCGGCTGGAGCGAGGGGAGGAGCCGTGGGTGCTGAATCTCCAGGTTGCCCGGAAAAGGGAGAGTCCAAGGGGCACCCAGGCAGGTGAGGGGGGCAAAGAAACAGAAAGGACCATTTGGCGACTGAAGGAAAAAGCTAGGACTCCCAAAATGTGCTGTGCGCAACACGCCTCCGTTCTGCCCCATCTCGCCCACGTCAGGGCTTCAGCCAGCAAGCTTCATATGAGAAAGGAAAAGATCAGTCCCAGCTTCCCACCCAGCCTGTTAGTGGTTGGGAATTTCCTCCCTGTCTTCACTTCCCTGGGAGTGTTTGGGTGGGATGTGGGGGCAGAATCCAAGTTCTCCAGCTCCAACAGTTAGGCTATGTCTAGACTGGCATGATTTTCCGGAAATGCTTTTAACGGAAAAGTTTTCCGTTAAAAGCATTTTCGGAACAGAGCGTCTAGATTGGCATGGACGCTTTTCCACAAAAGCACTTTTTGCAGAAAAGTGTCCGTGCCAATCTAGACGCGCTTTTCCGCAAAAAAGCCCAAATCGCCATTTTCGCGATCGGGGCTTTTTTGCGGAAAACAAATCTGA